TTGCTTTACTGATCCGCGCCTTCACATGTGCATCAGATCCACCATGTTCATCAATGATGCTGCCTAGGTATGTAAAGGTTTTTACATCTTCCAAGTCTTTCCCGTCAATTGTGATTGGATTGATACATGCTGTGTTGTATCGGAGAATCTTGCTTTACCCTTTGTGTATATTGAGACCTACTGTTGCTGAGGCTGCTGCCACACTGTTCGTCTTCTCCTTCATTTTTTGTTGCGATTGCGACAGGAGGGCCAGATCATCTGCGAAGTCTAGATCGTCCAGTTGCATCCTAGATGTTAACTGTATAATATTGACTATCTTCTCAGGCACACGGTAGTGTCGAAGAAGCCTCCATAGTGCTGTCCTGTCCATGGTATTAAATACTTTCTCGTAGTCAATGAAGTTGATGTAGAGTGATGAATTGCATTCAATTGATTGTTCCACAATGACCTGTAGTGTTGCGATTTGGTCGATACACGATCGATCCTTTCAGAATCCAGCCTGTTAGTCTCAAAGTCTACGAAGTCCTTCATGTTGTTTAACAATACCCTGTTGAAAACATTCCCTGTTACTGAGAGAAGAGTGATGCCCCTGTAGCTGTCACACTTGCTGAGATCACCTTTCTTTCATATCTTGATCACATGTCCTTTTTTCCGTCTGTTGGTGCTTGTTCTTCATCCCAAATCTTTCTGAAGATAATGTTGAGTATCTCTGCAGTTACCACTACATCTTCTTTCAGTGCTTCCGCTGCTTTGCTGCTCATGACTTGCCTGGTGGTCATGCTGGTCTCTTCAGATGTTGGTGGGCCAACATTAATTGGGAGGTTCGTGGGTACTGCTTACATATTTGGTGGGTTCAGTGGAGTTAGTCGATCCACGAGTTTCTTAAAGTTCTCTACCCACCTGTTTCGTGGTTTTTCAGTGTTGGTGATTACTTTATCCTTCTTGCTTTTCACAGGTCGTCCTGGTTTATGATAATTTCCAGCGAGCATCTCTGTTGTATCATAAAATTGTCTCATGTTTCCTCCTCTTGCAGCCTTTTCCACCGTCATTGCTAGATCTTGCACATATTTACGTTTGTCGGTTCTGATGCTTCTCTTTAACTGCTTGTTTACTTTGGTGTATTCAGCTTGTGCCGTAGCTTTCTCTTCTCTTGTTCGTTTGGTATTGATTGCTGCCTTCTTGTTCGCCCTTTCTTGAATCTGTGGTGGACCAAAAAATATATTAACCGAAAAACAGCAATAAAGTTATTACGTCTAAAAGTTAATGTAGCAATAAACAACGCATAAGATAATAACACAAATAAAAGTTTAGGGACGTTATTTAAATCAGCAGGGTGGGGCATGTCTTGTTGGTTTTGGTACCAGAATCCACAATTATAGGTAAATAATAATTCCAAAGAGACGATATGGCTCCAGTAGTAAATCCGAACGTAGAAGGTTGTAGTGACCTACTTTTATCAAGATAACGCGATGGGTTTAACGGAAACAATAATTATTATAACCAATTGTACCAGTGATTGTTTTACTGTGCTCGTTTGTTTAACTGTGCTAAAGACAGCCATATCACTACTCCATTACTCTCCATTACTTTCCTGTGGACTGTGACTTTGTACGCTTGTACTCTCGCCCACTAATTCCGCTTGTATTCCTTTTGGCACGATCTAAGTATCCATTCGATACCACGAGATCGCCAACGAAATAAATCTAGTTACGCCCCATCTTCGCCTTCTGGTTTTTCTGGTACACGCTTTCTTGTAGTGGTGTTCATAGTCAATCACGACTCGATACCACGCTACAAGGTAATGTGAACGTTACAACAGTCTATAAATATAGATGATAGTTAATTAATCGTTCCGTTATCATATCCACAAACATGATAGAACGAGAGACATATGTATAAAAGTGTATTTAATTATGAGCAGTTAACAGTGTTATGCTATGTGGGATTCAAAAACGGAAGGAAGAATGTAAGTATTCAAGGTCATATACTTAAACAACAAGTGCAATCGATTAATGATAAATGTACATATGGTGAGAATTGGCAAAATAAATGCAAAAGATATGAAAAACTATTTACAAAATAGGTTTATTAGGTCTGTCTCTACAAATCTTATCCAGTGTATCAACAGTTATTCATTCCTTGTGATGGTGCATCTTGCGCCCAAAAACTCATGACATGTTGAAGTGATTGCCTTCTTGATCCCTTTCCAGTTGTTCTCCATGGAAGTCCCCTCTCCATTGAGTAGATCATGAAAGGACTGGAACTTACTGCTGAGGGCTGTCTTGAATTTGTTGAGTCTGTCAGTATCCCGAAGAAAAGCGTTAATAAACCTTTGTGATGCTGTCCGCTCTAAACCCAATTAATCATATGAAAATGTGTGCCAATATCCACTAGAGGTCAATACATGGTGAATGGAGGCGAGACTATCGTGCCTGAGCCGCAGAAAAATTAAACAGATTGAGTCCTACTATGTAATGTCGTGTGTGATGAAAGTAGGCAGTGCTAATTTATTAGTACTAACCTGTCTGCCACTAGTGTGATCGTTCAAGGGAAAATAATGTGGGTTTAGAAGACACGGGGGTGGTCGACATCATTTTTTACACTGGCGCGACAATGTCAACATATGTTGCAGCTGCATCAAACGCAGGATTTTGAATGGCAAACAGTGCCGTCATGAAAACTGTGAGGGCAATATAATATTTATGAGAAGGTGAGATGAACAATCTGGATCAGATATTTTACGGGGTGAATGACATAATGAAGTTTACTTATCGGGTATGATCTGTTAACATGATGTAAGCCACAGACAGACACCAAGAGCTGCATGATGATTCTACAGTGGATACCAGTAAATTCTAGAGAAAAAAGTTGCCAGAACTTTACAGTCGAAATAGTACCCAGGGAGCATTTTCTGGCAGGTATACGATATGGAGGTTCGTAAGTTACTAGAAAATTGAAATGCTATTGCTTGTATGCAACCATCTCCAACCTATGGTTTGACTCCTTAATAGTTCCTGAGGTTGTCGTCTGAGCCCAGGAGAATTTAGAGAAAGTAAAACACCGGCGGAAAGCTCACAGTTAGCTCGATTGCTGGGGCTACCTTTTGAAAATCTGTAACAAACCTTTGCTTAAGCATCCATTGGTTAAGAGCCATTAGAAAGGTAGGCAGAGGAAAGAATCGATTGGAACGTTGAGGTTATACACAACACCTATGACATAACAGGCAAAAAAGAGAAAACCCCAGGGATTTCAATGGTTTGTTATAACTGATTGATAAAGTAAAGGGTGGGAAAAAATGGCTAAATGGTAATAAACCTCAAACCATGTTTTTTACTGCATGAGTAAACAGAATACAGGAAGTCAACTTAAGACAACACCACAGCTCCCTTTTCAGTGACATCTATTTTTGCTCATCCTTTCTCTCAAGCCCTTGTTAGTGTGAACCTTTTCTACTTCGCCACTGTCTTCATTGGCTTCCCATGTTTGTTTATTTCTGCAGTTATAAAAAACATAAACTACTGTTTATCATCGAATTTGCCATTTTTTGCCACCCTTCACTTATTTAATTAAGTACAATGGACTTAAAATCCCTGGGTTTTCCTTCCCTTCCTCAGTTCATATTAATAAAAGAGCTTATAAGTAAGGACAACCATCAAAATGTTATCCATCAGAAAAGGCGTATATTAATAAAGGCGAGTAACGAAATGGGGAATTAAATTTTTAAGGTTTTGAAATTCCATCAATTTACTGCCTGTTTCTTTGTCTTTACGGCCAATAGAATGTTCAATACTTTAAACGTTCAATAAAGAGTCTACTTTCAACTTTTGGAACTTAGAAACTGATTGTTATTCTTATTACCCCATTATTGTTATCTCATAGATCTATCTCAAAAAAATGAATTGGATAGTCTAGTTGATATACTAAATGATTAGTTTAAAGTTAATTGAACCCGATTCATAGCGAAATTTTGTGTAACAATGAAAAGTCATTTACGTATCTGCTGATTGCCAGGAATCTATATTTAATAACATTTCAGTAGATGTTGATAGCGTTTCTAAAATAAGTGTGCATCGACCTTATTAATTGACCACTTACTCATGTTCGATGAAGTGACCAGATGAGCTTATTGTATACATTCCGAAAATTCGTCAGCCACTGGCTTATGAGGGATAGTTATGACTAAAGGTTAATTAGTATCCGAGATTATTCATCAATCAGAAACCTGCAGTAATTTTTCTTTAACACGTTTGTAAAATTTCGGCTATAGCTCAGTGTCCTAAAATGTGACCAATGTTACGCATTTACTGGGACGATTAATATTGAATTGAAGTCGAGATAATCTTAACTCATGTTGCATCATATATATTTATCCCTGCTTCTATCTTCAGTCTTGAGTTCGAATTGGTGAACATAACAGGCAGGCTTCTATTACGATATTTAGGTACCCAGTACATTTAAATCTAACACTCGCTAGCTTACATTAATTAATTATTATTAATTATTATTATTTATTATTGATTATTATTATTATTAATGGCTTTATTTAATATTATGTTTTGGTACAATATGGGATTCTCAGCACAGGGGATTTCAACAAGTTACTTACGCAAAAAATAGTAACAAAGACAAAAAAAGAAAAGAAAAGGTTTAAAAAAAACAACCGAAAAACTGTACAACTTTTCAAATTAGAGACATGTTAAGAATGCAGGTTATTGACTAGGTTAACTCTAACAACCTGTTCGTCACAGAGTATATTTGCTAGGTAAGGTATTATAGAACTTTTATACTTTGCCTGCGTGCATGGATTTTAATGTAATTACGTCTCGTTCTACCAGAAGATATACAAGGAGAAAAATAAGAGTGAAGGGAATGGTTAGTATTTGATAAAATAACACCTGCCAGGAGTTCGCATGACTTTAGATGAATTTAGATATGAATGGCGAGAACTAAACTCACTCTAAATGATAAATCATTCAGTTTTCTGTTAAACTTGTAACTTTCTTATTTTTCCCGTAATTTATAAATCTCACCAGGTACATAACTACAAAATGTTTTGAATAAAACATCGTAACATATTTATAGTTGGCAGTAACTTTTGAACAGACTAAGGTATAACAACAATATGTGATTCTAAATAGATCTTACAAATGCAAACTCATGAAACTGTCACGGTACAACTGTTTAGTATATGTCCATTGGGAATGTAAAGAATAAATCATTAGGGTGTTACTACGTGAGATTTTTTTTCTTGTCTCTTCCTAACAGCTATCTCTGAGCTATGAAAGTATTTCAGAAGCAGATGGAATACCGAAAGCTAACCTGAATTTATTTCAAATATAACTTTGATGAATAGACCATAAACTGATGGCATTTCGTTAAGTTATAGTAAGAACAAACTTAAAACATGAAAGTATTAATATTGTCTTAATAAGAAAACACTAACAAATCATAAACACAAAAATCATCATTAGTACAATAATATTGCAATTCAAATTCAAAATAAAAAGATGTGATCGGAATTTGATTTGGTCTACGTGTTTAATGTTATGAATTTCAGAAAAAAAGCCAAGTTTGGTGAGAGTAAATAAGAGTAAGGGAAACACAAGGGTCATTTTTGTGAATTTGTGTTGAAAACTTAATATTCTTATTGCTATCTAGTTGTACGGTATAGTTGCTTAATTAATCATTGTGATTTACACATAAAGTGTTTCATTAAAATATTAAAGTAGATAACAAAAGATAATTTTATTTGTCTAAATTAAATTGTTGTCGATATTGTTGAATGGTGGTTGTAGTTTAAGGTTGAAGTAGAAAAAAAATGAAAGTGTAAAAAATAGAATCAAAACAATATTCAATAAAAAGTATTTCAATATAATAAATTTATCATGAACAGTAAATCATCGTCATCATCATCATCATCATCATCATCATCATCATCATCATCATCATCATCATCATCATCATCATCATCATCATCATCATCATCATCATCATCATCATCATCATCATCATCATCATCATCATCATCATCATCATCATCATCATCATCATCATCATCATCATCATCATCATCATCATCATCATCATCATCATCATCATCATCATCATCATCAACAACAACAACAACAACAACAACAAAATCAATAAACCTTTTTAATATCAATCAATAAATTATCACAGAAAATTAATTTTTCGTTTTTTTTTAAGTAAACAAATTCGAAATTATTTTTTTAAAATATGCACTCATAGACGTATGGAATTATTTTGAATGATGTCTTTACATTTAATTTTAGAAATTGTTTTTGTTTCAAAATTATAATTGACTTTGTGTAAGATATGTAGCTGAACTACTATCCCCTGTTTTAGTATAATAACATGATTCAGGTGATGGATTCTGTCGTTCATAATCGTCACATTCCATACCACCAGTAACATCATCTTCATCGTCATCTTCATTAATCGTATCCGTGGTACGTACTGTAGATAATGCGCTGTCGGATAACGAAGTTGACATTGTTGGCTCTGCTTCTTTATGTGGATTAAATCTATTAAGTGTTAATTTCTCATTTATTGAGTGATCGTCTTTACCACGTTTATATTTTTTTAATTTCATTTCAGCCAGACGATGCTCCATTTCACTTGCATTTACACGATATTGTGCTAATTCCATACTGATATGTGTTGTACGTCTTTTATTTTGATTGGTATACTTTTGCGACTTTGATTGTTCCAATTTATTCGATTTTATAGTTTGTTGTTTTTCTTCTTGTTCATTTAAACTTGAAATATTTTGATGATTTCCATGAATTGTAGTGTTGCTTTTATCTAGTGTATGAACTTCTTTTAAAAAAGCACTTGGATTCAATGTTACTACAGGTTCTGATAAAGCTCTGGTTCTAGGTACTGTCAGTAAATTAGCTGGTAAAGAGTAATTTGGGTGTTGCGATTCAATTACCTCCCACTTAGAACCAAACGGTAGTAATTTAGTATGTGGTACTCCACGTAACATACTTTCATATCGTGTTATTTCGTCTTCATATACACGAATATATTCAATTGCTAAGCATACACTACTGTGATAACGATATAACATAACCATTGGTAGGGCTACATTTATGTAGATGAACAGACTTTGAAGTTCACTTGTTTGCACATAGTTTTTATTCACACTGAGTAGTATATTGTTATGTTTTGCCTAGTTCAAATAGAAATCGGAAGTAGACAAAAAGGTTTTATATTAGGTGATGCAGAATGTAAAACAACTGAAGTTGATAAAGATATTGGAAATCGTGTTTCACACCAGCCTAAGAGAATAAAGTCTGTTGAGTATAGGCTTCCATCAGATAATAGTTCTCAGACAATGCTCAACTTTTATGAAGTATTCTCACTAATAAATAAAGGAAAAAATAGACTTTCCTGTTCAAAGGTCGTTTTAATTTTACAATAATTAGGCTGAATCTTCAAGTGACCATTATTTAAAAACAATTTTAATTATTTTCTTGTCCGCTGAACACGATAATTTATAGTTGATTAGTTTGAACTAAACTATATTATCCAGGCCCATAAAATATGGCCAAACCAACTTTTCTGTATAACCAACAATTACATGGTATCTTTTTCAATGTTAATCGTAAAACTTATAAAACATGCTTAATGACAGCTTTTAAAATATGACATTTGAGCAACTGATTCAAGGAAAAAATCTAAGCTTGGTGATGGTAAAACTAACCAGGATCTTTAGTAGTTGTGTTTTGTGATGTCAGGAAAAGGATAAAATGGTAGAGGTCTGATAATCTTTTGTACTGGAAAAATTGCAGGTGAAAAAATCGAAGTTATTTTAGCATGATAATTTTGATGTGTCTGATAATATTGCACCAAATGAAACATCCCGCTGATGCACAGTTATGTTTAAAAATCAAAACAAACATACAGATGTAAAGATACAAAATCTTACGCATGTTTGTATTATTTCATTTTAACATGCATCCAAGTGACGCAAAAGGACAAGTAATAAGTATTGATATAGTGGTAAGTAGAGACATTTTCAGTTTTCTTCACCGATTGACAATCTATAAAACCTCTTAAATGTTAGGTGCATTAGTCAGCCGTGATGTTTTCTTTGGGACTTATCAGCAATGAATAAAAATGACTACTTGGAAATCGGGTTCACGATCTTTTAGTTTTACAATGTTATGGTTTTACCAGTGTATTAAGCTTAAAAATTAGGGACCAGTAGATAGGAATTCAGTTGTCGAGCGGTATTGTACATTCTTATAAGTCGGAGGTGCTGGTTTGGGTTTACTTTGACTGTGGGTGATCATTTTCATTGATAAGCAAATGGTACAGATAATCTATTTTGTGCTTCTTGGAGTTAAATGGGTTTTTGTCAGGTGTCACTCTACGATAAAAGCAATATTTAAAAATGAAATTTAAACGAGTAATCAAAAACCTGTGTTTTAAAAACATGAATATTAAATAAAATTTAAATAAATTGGTCAATGCTAATACATGTCACATAAATTGGACAGTTACTAGATGCTGACATCTGAAGAAATCCAACTAGATTAGCAGTCATTTGTTTTACAGAGTTAATTTGTATGCTGGGCTTATCACATCCTACTCTCGTCCAGCTTGATTTGTCTCACATTGACTGATATGTATTCTCCCCCTTAGTAGATGACTTAACCTCCCCAGATAAAACTGTACACTTCGTGGTTCCATGAATCTGTTTTCAGCGTTAAAAATATCTCCAAGACCGAACATCTATACCCCTTTCATATCCTTCTATATATTTTTTAGTGACTATACTTATTGATCCCCAAGAACGCTTCATTATAGAAGTTTAGTATTTGTTGGTTAACAGTGAGATAAATCCTTGTTACCATTAAAATTTCGACATAATGGAGAAAATACGCATCTCAGATAGATTATTTTGCTTGTATTCTATGAGATGTGAGATTCAGCTGTGACATGCTTCATGTGGAAATGAGCTCTAATGATGTTTTCAAGAGCAGCAATAAAATATTTGTAATAAACTACTGAGCTCGAAGTACAAACCCAGTAAAAAATTAATCAAAGTTGACTTAAGTAAAAGTGTAATAATAAATAAAGTATCGAAAGTTCAGCCCTTAGAAGGCTGCATTTAACTATGTCATTAGCAGATTAATGACCATTTTCCTTTGAGATAAAAAGGTGGGGACCATTAATATAAGCTATAGTGAAGTAGATTAAAATATAATTATTAATTACCTATTCTTTTCGAAATTCATTTCGCCTGTTTTATTCCTACATAACTGAAACGTTCGAGTCATTATTGTTCCGTGATCATCATTAGTATTCTACTGGTTATCTATTCTCTTATTAGATATTTCGTAGTCTACCAAACTTTTAACGATATATTTTGACTGATTTACAAATGTTTCTTTGAATTTTTTAACTATTTCATTTTAGTTTTTTTTCAGTTATTTTGATAGTCATTCGATGAACGTGATATTGTAGTGCTAATATTGTGGTGTATGTTACTTAAGTCTGTCGACATAAGTAGTATGTAACACCAATGGGAAGTGGAAACCCTGGCAGTAGAAGGCTATGAAAGTCGACTTGAAGAAAACAGAAACAGAATGAGAAAGGAATTGTAAATCTGAAGAATCATACAGAATGTGAAGCACAAATGATGGAGATTTGAAAATGGAGTGTTCAATTTATGGTTCTTATATCTTACCAAGAGATTCTGTAATTTCGTATTAAAATGCAGTTGGTTGTCCCCATCTGCGATTTTGGTCACTACAATAAGTAACCTCACCACCTGGCTGACAGTTTATGAAGTGTAATATATATATACTAGTTTAGAGCCATGATAAAGAACTAACTAAAAAGTAACATTTTTTAAGTACATTTGTCTTTTTATAAATGCCGGAGTGGAGACTTATATTATATTAAAATATTACTCTAACAAAATAGGAGTTTATGACTGTATGGAGACCAAATATTACGTAATTGTTTGGAGATGATCGCTTCATTAATGTTCTTTCTGATATAACATATGTGTATTATATGTAATAAGATCACAAAAATTAAAGTACTTGTCATCTTACCTGAAAGCTATAAATTGTCCATAAAGAAAAATTTATGGCTGATAATAATGCAATCATTGCACGGCCTGGTTTACGCTGTTGATATGATGCGTCGTGACAACATCTATAGAATAAATCATTTATGAAAAAATTCTGCACTGTAACTTGTATTAACTCTAAAAGTGCTGAGAATAAATGTAATTTAAGACATTGTTGTTCATTATTATTGAAACCATTACCCAATAAAAATGCGATATTGAGGAGAATACATGCCACTAAAAATGTGACAGTTATAAAAAATGTAACTATTAATAATTTGCTATCCAAATTTTGATTTGAAAAATTCACTGAGAATTTCAATTTTCTTGTATTCCATATACCAATAACACAAAATATCAATGCAATAATAAAGAGTATGCTTGTTTCAGTTGAATGAACGATATACACATAATTATGGATTTTTTTCCCCCAAATCTCCAATAACATTACAACTCCCATAACAATACAAATTATAACTGTTCCGATAATGATGCCAATGGAACCACGATCAACACATTTCACACGATGTTCTTCCTTTTTCTAATATTTTAAATAGAAATAGGAAAAGAAAACAAGTACATTCATGTATGAATAGATGTTGTTAACTTACGTTTTAAAATGTTACATTGAACAAATCCTTTTGATAAAATACGATCTATTATAGAGTATTAAAAGTATTATTTAGTTGATAGGAAATATAGTTTAGGAAACGCGTTTCTTTCAACATAGGTAATTATACATCCACATGTAGTTATATTTTAATAGTCAATATAAATAGAACTATAAATATTCACTAGTTATTTAATACTAGTACTGATTGATATATTAATTTTACTTTGGTGGTTTTAAATAATATGATTCAAGTCACTAACAGAAAGTAGATAATGGCTTCATAGTTTGTCTTACAATCACTGACTATCAGGAGATTCATCTGATAGCCTATATTTCATTTAATTTGTCCATATTATAAGAAGTTTGTTGACTTAGTATAAGACTAAGGCAACTCACTTTGAGACGTTTAGTTTTTAATATGTTGATTAGTAAATTCTTATTATCGAAATACAGTGTTGACTGACTAGTTAAATAAGAAAAAATGTTGCAAAAGCAATAAAATTACTAGTGAACTATTTTATTAAAACCCAGAAATGCTATTCTCATAATGCTTCAGCATTTGAGTTTATAACACTTTGATTTACATCAGCTATAGAGTCTACTTATTTCTGTTCCACAGAATTTACTGTCAGTTCGATTGCTTTCAAAAATTGGAAATTTATCACGAAGTCCAATGTTTGTGATGATTAGGATCAATAAAATTTAATGTGAGAAGAGGAAGAAGGTTATTCTTCTAAAACGCATGATGAATATGCTTTACACCGGTACAAAAATTTACGTGTGATTATTCACTTAATCTCAACAGTTATAAAGGGTTTCAGATCAATCAAGTAATGAAACAAAACTTCAATTAAATAAAAGGTGTAAAGCGATTTTCGTCAGATCGTACACAACTTTTAAATAATTTTCCACTTTTCTTTACATTATTCACTTCATTATTAGAATTGGTTAGCAAAAAAGAACTATGCAGTACACTGGTTTAAAAATGTTTCTTAACTCCCTAAAGAGATTTACTTAGTTTTAAAAGGACCAGGATGTATATATGGTGACGAAATTTAAGATGATCCGTGCACAATGTTGAACATTTTTGTATTCACAAAGTTGATTAGCATATTTTATTACTGAGTATATTCGTTTATTGTATAATAACTGAAGATGGTAAAAAATGCAAAAGATTATTCAATCACTCAAATTTAAGGTCTTAGTTTGCTTAGTGTTTCAAATGACTTCATGATGGAACTTAGTGAACAGGGTTTTAAATGAATCTGTTTTGTAGGTAGTTGGATAGGAAATTAAGGAAATGAATGATTTCATATTTTTGATGATAACTATTTCATACTTTTTATTTTTATATGTGGATGTGAAATAAAATGACAGTAAAAGCTGTTGGGACTTGAAAATCTGACAACTTCAGTTTGTTTAATGTAATACAATTTTTGATAACCGTGTTACTCTAAATTAATGCACTTCTGATTATCTTAACAACTACTTCGTTATCATAGTTTCCTTTGTTTAACAGTTTAAAAAACAGATATTTTTTCTGCTACAGTAAACTCTTTGTTTTTTTATTTTGACACTGGCTCTAAATGATATTAAGCTGGTTTTAATCGCTACTCAAGTGTGATCCGATCAGTCTTTTAGAAACTACTGCTTTTTGTCTTAAGCTAGAATATTTTGATCAAATGAAAACCATAAAAATTTGAACACTGACAAATTCCTCCGAATTCTGTCAGAATGTGATCCAGTAATAAGGTTGTAGACGATTTCAATATTACAATGACAATTATGGCTATCTTAATATCATTTAAAATAAAAAAAGCATATTTCAAGAATCCGTCGTAAATTTAGTATGGTTCAAAATTTCACCATTTGTGTTGTATAAACTTCCAAAACCTAATTATTTAGACATTAGCACTGCTTTATTTCATCTTTAGTGTAACCGAACTTTTAGCTAGAAGTGAAATTCTATGGGCAAATCGACAGATTTAGCTGAACAAATTCTCTTTTATCGGTCTACAGGTCAATTTAAACAACAGCTTTTTGGTATTTCACATAACTTGGGTTTTTAGGCACCATAGTGATTTCGTTTGTCACACTGTTTCTTAGTATAAGGTAAATAACTTTTCTTCAGTTGCCAATGAGAAAGTATGTCACATATATTGTTCCACAAATTTTTATTTTTCAAAGGAATAACAGTGGGACTCCAGTCGTAACTACTTGTTAAAAAGTGGGATACTGAATAAAAATGATTTAAAAACAACCATTATGCTAATACAATAGCTTCTCCTCTTGTTACATCGCTTGAGTTCTGCAGATACTTTGGTGCTGAAAGGTGAATACAGTGTTAAAGATTCATATTACCCATATTCTTATGACAATGAAAGTTTAAGTTTCAGGTACTCATGTAAGCTGTTTCAAGAAGTTGCTTTCTACAGTATAGACATATGTAGATACAATGGCTGTGAAATGTATTTATTGTTAAAAAATTTAGTTTTTTCTACCCTCTTAGAAGAAAGGGCACTGATTAAGGAATTAGAGTTTCTAACTTTCAAAACACGCGCGCAAAGTTTCATCCTGATACAATTCTACTTAAAAGCCAAATAAATTCAGTAAGCTATGAAAATATTTTTTATTATGCTTCGTGTGATGAAGTAATTTTTCACTGAGAAGTGAAGATAATAAGTTACTTTCGTCTACATTTTCACAGATGAAATATTTATCTAGTTTTAACCAAATGCAGGAAATTACTTTACAGCTATATTTTAAATACAATCAATTTAGTTTATGACAACATTTCTACAGTAATGCGATTAAAATAAGGAGGATTAATAAGTCTTATCTTTTGAATAAGAATGAGCACCACTGAAGAAACCAATATTGTTGGAAAGCAATTGTCTATGACTTTCATGATTTCAGAATTGATGAAAAGGAGAACTTCAGTGTACAATATGTCTAACGCCTTAGTGTAATGCATTCGTAAAAGTTAGTTTCAAAGTCAAAGCCTGCTGACCAGATAAGAATAACAAAACCTGCTTAAAGAAGAAAATTTATGAAAAAATAGATGTCCAAATCTGACACATATAAAAAGTAATGTAGTGGCATATTTATTAAAACCTGTTTGGAAGTTCGTATTACTAGTAAAAGTCTCTTTCCTGTTTATTGTTTTAAAGGCATTGAGGCTAAGAATTCATACACGTTTTTCTATTATGAACTGTTCTCATGAGTTCATTATATATAGTGTCACTTAGAAATGAAAGAAAACGTTTTTAAAGATATGATTAGATAATAATAAAAGATATTTTATACTGTGTTCGCAAGACTTAACCGTATAGTTAAGGAAGTTATTTATGAGCGTTTATCACAAACTATTATAGGAAATATTACATAACTGTTTTCCCTTTAGTGTAATCAGCAGCTTTTCACTTGATACTTTGAGATTACATTTATGTCATCGTTGATAATATTTATGGATATACAGGTCATTATAAGGCTGTAAAATGTAAAGGAAATTTCCGAAATTCATTACTAATAAACAGTAACCGATTGTTATGATTTACCAGTACAGGATTGTTTACTTATGATTTGTAAAGTTACTTAAGGTGATCAGTGAGAAGAGTCATTTAAACGAATATTAAGATTTGACATTAAGGAATTTTACCAGATGTTGATATTAAGAAAAGTTAGTTATCCACCAAGCTGATGGTATAAAGGATAAACAAGTGGTTAAATCTATCAATATAGATAGCGTAATCAGTTGTGTCTATCATAACAGTGGTCAGTGATGGTAAGTATAGAAATAATGTCTTCATCTAACCATTAATTGATAAGCAAAGTTACAAACAAAAGTGAGGTTGATTTCTTGAGAAAGAGAAGGACTGTGTTGTGAGTTTTGTATAAGATGATGAATAAAGATGCCACTCTCATCAAGACATATTTGGGTGATCGCAGTTATTTGAGTAGAGTTTAAGTACAATACTTTCAACAGATAATCAACTGCTACAACATCTAATTCGATGAATTTTCATATATTTAAAGTTTACACTCTGTTTGCGTAGGAAATAGACATTTATCTTTAAATCACTTTAAAACTCTGAGTGTTTCTCGGTCGATACACTGATATGTAGAAGTCAGTTTCTCCCATCATTAGGGTCACTGTATCGTTATTCTGTGGTCCTTAATGTTTAAATTTATGTAAACATATGTTCAACTTACTTCATGTTGACATTCGATTTGCTTCAACTGCCCAACACGATGTAACAATTCGTAAACTACAGCCACAGCAATCGCACAATATTCTGGTACTGCAGGAAGAAAATAATTTGTTGCCGCTAATTCATACTTTTTATGTACGACAGTTACATTTAGAACTGCCAAAGTTCCAATACTCTTAGATATTTTTTTAATAACAGCATCTGACCAGATGCACAGATTCACTGTTAGAATGTGTAGTAGTATAAAACTGAAGATGCGTATTCTCACAAGAATTACTATCTGTAAAAATGAAACATTGGAAAAAATGCTAAAAAGACAAAATTCATTTATACATTATTAGTAAAATGGCATTTTCTGTTTTGTTTAAACGTGAAGAAACAAACTCTTAAGGGTATTGGATTTATTTTACAATTCAGTCGTTTGGTTTTTAGTCTTTACTGTTATCATTTGACAAACAAACATAATTGTGTTTGTTTGTTATATGATAACAGGAAGGATTAAATTTGAAATAGATATCTGATCTAAATATCAAAGCTTATCGTTCATTATAGCTACATGTTGATTGAAAAGAAAGTTAGAAACACGTTTCCCTTTCATTTATGAACAAAAATCTCCCCATTCATTAAATAAAACGTTAGCTACTGTGACTGAAGTAACGCAAAACTAACCGTCACTGTGAATCTTCAGTTATATACTGCTGTTCAAGCTGTACACGTGTTATAGTGGAGAGAAATAAGTGTGGTTCCTTAGAGGTATCTGGATTTTGATTCATAACAACCCAGTTAAGAAAAGGATTATGAAATAAAGATCCAATAAACAAGTTTAATATACAGTCGTATGTAGGATAATCTCATAATCAAAAAATGTAAATGATCCTTCTGATTCACAGAATTTTGTCTTTACTTTATTAGTTGGTGACCAAGTTACAGAACTGTTTTTTGCGAATCTAATTTCAGTAAACGAAAATTTCTATTACCTCATTATAAAGTGTTTAACCGTAGTAAATATATGGCTTTTATAATAAGTAATTTATCCACAAAAATATAATAAATCAATTCTCTCACCTTAACAGATGAATATCTACCAAGTCTCCTAGAGCATAAGCAAAATATTTATCAGTCAAGTCACCTGAAGGGATGTTTTTGTAAAAAACAAGAGATTTACTAGACTTCCAGTAATTCTGATAAAAATGTATATACGGATAAAGTAACGGACATTTTACTGAGACAAGTGGGGTTTCTATTTATTATCCATGTTACTGACTGGGTTTGTTTTGTTAACTGTCCCATGTTGGCTATGATTTCCATTTTATTTTTTTCAAACAACTTATTTTTCCAAAGTAAGGATTACAACAGGTAGAAAAAGAACCGTGACATCAAAATCTTTTATATATCAAGGTTTTTAATTGAATTCCTTCATAAATATTCATTAAAGATTATTGATCTTTTTAGAAGTAATTATGCTCATGCATGGAACGAATAACAGTTGGACAGTTCGGACTTTAAATAGTGTTATATTTAAATGATGAAATCTTAAGGGAAACAAGATAAACAGGTTCGCATTTGATGGATTTATGTGAATGAACGATATACATGTGTATATTACTACTAAAAATCATGAAGGAGCATTATGCCTAACATTATAGATGTGGTTATTAGTTACGTTGGTTCAATTGAGCATATACTAAGAGTAACCAAATTCTTAGAATACTCACTCTTTTTTAACCACCAATCCAAACCCTAGCCACCTGATATATTTGGATTACTTTTTAATTTACCAGCTATCTTGTTATAGTGCGTCCGTACATCAAGAATCCTATATTTTTAATTGAGTCATGTCTTTGAAAAAATTCTAAAAAGCGTCCAAATTAAATATTCTCGCGATTTCTAAACCAAAAATTCAGTATCTAGTCTTGTGTTTATGTATAAACGGAATTTTTTTCAATTACTTCAAGTCATATCAGTTGCTAGTGTGTACGTCTAAAAGGTACCAAATTAATGGTCACACAATCTTTTATTTCGGTCTCAATTACTAAGATATATGTTAAACACAGAGCCGACCGAATTAGACTGATTAGTACATCCAAGAATGAATCAATCTTGATGACTTAAACATTTCGTATTTCAATATAAATTTACCAATAGAAATTCCATAAATTATAGCAATATACTACTTATTACATTATTCATTTTCTCATTTAGATAATACCAGTAGACTGGATTAGAAGAACACTAAAATGATGTGAATAAACGAAACAATGGTTTACTCTGGATAGTAGATACTGGGTACGAGGAACACTTATAATATCTGCGAATAACTGAAACTCCTTTTAAAAGGGGGTCAAATATTTCTTTTAATGATTTCACGTTATCATTGTTCATTATTATTAATAAAGGAAACAATGAAGAAATATGGTAACCAGTAGTATTCACCCATTATAATTTCTCATTAATTGCTATAAATGACTGTAACTAACCGATCGTGAAGAATTTACTGCGAACACTCTGGATTTTGAATGGGTGATTGAATTTTGTTATACTTTTCGACAACCAAGAAGCTTTTTTGTTCTAAATTATGCGGGAGAGAACATATGTGATGTTGTTGAGTCGCATTCTAGAGGGAAACATCTGATCAGTGTAGATGAATTTTAATGGTCTTTCATTTGATATCAGTTAGCAAGGAAAGAAACTTTAAACCTAATAAAGTCTTCAGAACATCATCCCTAAGTGATAAAATGAGCCTTTTATTTACGCTGTGTTTTTCCTTTGATTTGTTTATTAATCACTGAGAAAGGAAATTATACGTATATGTACTACAACATATGTTGACATTAACTTCACATCTGTATCCATCTGTGATCTTCGACGCATCAGATGAATTATAATTTAAAAATAATTCACACTATCTTTATCTGAAATGGACAGATTTTTTTTGCGAGAAATATGTTTTCATTACAAATAAATACATAGTTGTTTTTATACAAAAATTGGGAACTTACACGATGTAAAAGTAGCAAAAATACGGTCTGAGTGATAAAGAACAGAATTTTGAAAAATATGTAAATAATAGAAGCCGAATGTAACGGATATTTCTTTGCAATTTCGTAACATCTTGTAGCTGAATGAACGATGGACATGGCTGCAAACACTAGGTATAAATGAAAGTAAAGTAAATAACAGAATACATACATTAAGTGTAGTAGAAAATGATTGTTTCAAACTCATTATAAATAGCATAAAACTAGGCATAAACCTAGAAACGTTTGCATGGACTTATGTTTGAAGGTTTGATTTCACCTAAGTTGATTGGTTTAGAATAAGCAAGCTTTTTGCCAGTCACTCAACTTATGAACTAAATGCGAAACCGGGAATATTATTTTTGCACTGATTTATTATGTAAAATGTCTTCTTTTACTTGTAAGCTTTTGCTGAATGGATTATGTCGGGTAGTTTTCCAAAAGAACTAACATTAGCTGAAAGCTATTAAAAAAGATTATTCTAGCCAGTCGTTTTATCTAGTCCCCACTTCGAACCGATAACATCATTAAACCTGAACGTTTATATGCTTGGAGAAAAATGTGAAGGCGTGAATTCAACATTGTTAAAAGTAGGGTTATGCTTGTATCTAAAATTACCAGTTCAAAAAATTAAATGCACAGTGTCTTTTGGCGTAAACTGGTTTTCTACAAGACATTAACTTGTGCTTAACTATATTCACTGATAGTGTACGGAACTTGTGAAAACTGTTGTTTTTAACAATTTACAATATGAACTGACAACCAGTGAAAACCAGGAATGTTTTGAACTGCTGTTTCGTCCTAGTATGAACTTGTCAGCAGTGAGCATCCATGATCCTGCCAAGGACCAAGCTCAGGACGTTTATGTCTCACGACGAGCAATACATATTTATTTCTTACTTCAGTCAACTCTGGTAAGAAACCATAAAGTGTAGAGTTCAACGATATCGAATGTGAGACAACCATTCACCAATGACGTTCTAAAATGGTTGTGCAGTAGCGAGAATCGATTGAAGCCAGAAATCTAAACAGTTACGTACCAACTCAAGGGTTAGAATGTTAATGACTCTCTGAGAGACCTAAGAGTCCTGGGTTCGACAGTTGACGGAGTCGTGAATGGTTACTTCTGGCTTGTCTTTGACTAAGACCAAACTGCTAGCCAATGTTAACTGGTTTTCAATGGTAGTTTAGCTGACGTTATTTTGTCATGTAAACTTTATGTCTACTGAATTAAACATATTTTTACGTAAACGATAAACGTAAAACGATGAAAAATTTGAAGACTTTACCTTCAGGTGAATTCCCTGGTTGTTTTAGGTTACGAAAACGAAGATAGGACGAATAAGTCGGTACAAATGGGTAGCATTTCATATATGATGATGTCCTCCAAATTCAGTGGGTCCAACTGCATCTTACATAGTTCTTTTAGTTACATTACTTGTTTAAAAGGTTTTATAAAAACCCAGAAAGACTCTGTACTTGATAACAAACACCAAAACAATGTCTAGTAAACTTTTAAGAGGTTTTTAGTTATTGTTCCTTTCAAATACATTTACTACAGGTACGTTTTTATATTATTTTCATTCTAAATAAAGTACTTTATAATGAGGTTATTCACAATTGTCTTCTCAGATGCTAATTAGATGTTAGTATCATAAAAATTTAAAAGAACAGTAGTAGTGTTTAGTAACGCTCTTTGGTAATGAATTAGGAAGTTTGAGTAAAACTTCAAAATAGAAGTGAGAGATTAATCTAAAATTTCGGAAAAACAGTTGACTAATACTGAAATCAAATTGTCTCCTGGAAAAAATGTTTCCTGTAAATGATTTCCAAAGCCTGAGTCGTTCCATGTGCTAAGAGTTACAAATAATCGGAAGAGTTAGTGGACTTGATGAAAGTTCCTGAAAGTTATTCAAGATTAACTTCGAAAGAAGGTGAATTATTAATGAATCGGTTTATTAGATAGTATGAATTTAGAAATAAAACTTCTGCCAGTGTAAATAATTTCTCACCCTATTTGTAAAAAGCCAACAATTTAATTGATTCGTTGTTTAAAACAGGAAAATGAAATAGTGTTGACTATAAACGAGAATATAAGATTGCGATTGAATTTTGTAGTATTCCTCCTTAGTTAAAGTATTAAAATGTAGAGACTCCACAAGAACCGAACATTAGTTTTTAAGGCATACATATTTTATGAGCAGTTAGATTGAAAACGAAAATGAAGCCTCTATTTTTAAGTTGAAGATTAAAATTATCATATAAAATGATTTGAATTTTCATTGTTATCGGAATATCATTGTCGACCGAAAGATCTAAACCGAAAAAAACAATGTAAAACAATAAAAAAATGCAACCAGTGAATTCGAGAGCTTGACGTATGGCATTGGTACCCATACGCACTTCAGTAATAGACTGGGAAATAATAACTTATGCGTAGTTGTTCCATGTGATTAAATGAAAGATAATCACGAAATTTGAATGTGATACGTGCATCATATTTGTCTAAACAACATCTATTTATCTCAAGAAAATCAACACTAACATGAACTAAGAATATCATCCTAACCTAAGTAATCTTCAGTTTAATGAATTCTCAAATTCTTATTAGATAGTCAAGTAATAATAGTCTCACAACATTATTCTCTTTACAAATTTGAAATTTAATAGGGCATCTTTAAAAAAGTTAGTTCAGATTTTTGTACCGTAGACTAAATACAACACAATAATATTAAAGGCAATAGTAAGTTCTGATTATCATGATTTCCGTTACGTTCCGAACATTTATCTAAACTTCACAAGCTAAAGTTGTATGCAGCTAATGAGAAACCGTAAACTAGAATGAATTTATTTCATTCTGCCAACCTTATAATTCTTGCTGCTCTTAAATTTATCAAAGGATTTGGTTGTATGCGATTTTTGAAAAAAAACGCCTCTCTGAAAGTCAATCAAGTCACCGAACCAATTTGTGACATGTCGTTGAAGAATATCACGAGAGTCGAGAAGAGTGAAGTTATTTGAATACTTTTTGGAAACCAATTACATTCTCTGTTAATTCTCCAAGATACTTCGCTCAACCAAATGTTCACTTCTACAAAAGAATCTTCATCGAATAACCTAATCTCATATCGAGTGATCTATCAGGTATATTTTATCTATGAAATCCGAAATGTTTCTATTCTACAAGTTCATTGATAATCTAAACATTACCTATCAAATCAAATTAATGAAATTCACCCTAGAGCAACAATGTAACACACCCAGTTCTTTTGAGAACATACTACTGAAACCCCTAGTGACAGAAATAATACATGAAGAATTACCTGAACTTTTCGAAAAATATATTCATAATTTGTCAAGTATGAAGGTTAACAAAGTTGAAAGTCAAGGTCGCTCTCCTGAATTTAAATTCCATGTTGATATAAAAAATGTCAAAATTTAACATACAAATGGAGTTCGGGAGCCTGTACGAAATTACTGACTTTAAACGTACGTAAGAGGACAGAAAAGGTTGGTTTCGCTCAAAAGTGGTTGATATTAGAAATCAGTGCTATATTTCCACAATTCCACATTCAAAACACTTAACAAAGGAATTTATGTCAGCACTGAAGAATTTACAAAAAAATGATAAGATGATTGTAGTGAGTCCAAACAAAGGCTTCGTTGTTGTAATAATGAATCCAAAAGAAACAACCAACTGTTGGAAAGAAACCTATCGTCATCCGCCCTCCGTTCAAGAAAGAAATGACTTCAGGATGAACCAATAGGAGTGTCAAAGCGAAGCTGAAAAGAAGATTCCCTTCAGCTCATTTGGTTTCACAATACAACACCAAGTTAATAATAAATATAATTTTTTGTTCTATCCCAATGAATAAAAAATTTTTTCACTTAATTGGGGTATAACAAAAAATATATTTATTATTAACTTTCTACCGAATGCCAAATTTATTTAAAACTATCAATTCCAATCTTGGCATTAATACCCACAACACCAAGTGTTCTTTATATCATTCAAAGGTAGATCGTTACCCTTCTGACATCACCACCAATTGCATTTATTGACGTAAATGTACTGCGGTAGCAAATACATAGGAAGGACAGAGAGAAGGATCTCTAAAAGTTTTCGTGAACACATTTTCGGGGACCTACGTCTAAAAGAGTCTAAAGTCTTTACAAGAGCAATTGTCAGACATCTTATGACTAGTAGGTATGAAGTGAATGTAAGTGATGCATTCAGAATAATCAACGGACATCAAATATCAATCTTACACAATTTTGCAAAGGTGATAGCTATCAAACGTTTCCGACCTAACCTCTGTATGCAAACGGAAAGTTTGATTTGCCTTTCCCTGCAATGGTGATTGGATATTTGTCTAATAACCTCTGTTAATTTTGAACTTTTTTCAACCCTGTCCACGACCTTTTTATTCTGATTATTTTTTCGTCTTCTGATATTCATCTCTAACATAATCTGACTGATGTTCATATATTTGTTTATTTTATCATGTTGAGCGATGACCCAATCACTTGTTAACTACATTACCTTTATATAACCACTGAATTATTACAACCCAAAGTATGCTAAACATTTATTAATAATCAGGTTCATATTATTAATTTTATCTAACTGATGAGTAACCGTGAAATAGAATGATGGGTTCATTTTATTCTGTGAACATTGTTGCTCTTGGTTTGTTTGAATATTAAATTAAATCTAAAAAGTTCATGTTTCTAAATGTTGTCGGAGTGTACGTGTTGTTATGTTCTGATCAAATGATATTGAAGTCAAAGGAGTTAAGAGTGTATTTCAGTTTTTTATTGGTTTGGTAAATTAAAAAAGAGATGATAATATTGTCAGTGTATCATCTGGTCATTATTGATATAAAGGAGTTCCGGACAGATAGTGACACACCTAATAAATGCCAAAAATAAAATATCGATTATCAGCATACTGTAACTAAATGTCTGAAGCTATATTCGATTTTAGTTGTCTAACAATTTTGAGTCACATAAAGCAAAACGAAATTTATTATGAAATTAATCAATCTTTTGTTCGTTCAGTGTGAACTTCCTTTTCATGATAATTTTCATTAACTTATGAAACAGTGAATCAGTGCCAACCGTCATCAATTCAGTAAGTTGAATACCAAGAAGCTATAAATCTGTGATCACTAGAGAAATCGAAAACTTCAGAAAATAAAAAATAAGCCAGTCTAAATTCAAAACAAATGAATAAATTAACAAAAAGTGGATTTTTTTGAAGCTTGATAAGTTCTAGCTAGCTTACTTATTGAACATCTTAAGTGATTTTCAGATCCGAACATTTAATTCCCCAAAAGTCATATGGCGTGTGACTGCATAGTTGATTAGCTGAGGAATTTGAGTTTCAAGTTCTATGGGATGTAATAGGATGAAGAAATATTAATTCTCTTTATTTTTCTGATGTGTGTGGTTTGAAATGTACATGTTAATCCATGAGCAAACTAGAGATTAAACAGTTAGGTCATGTGCAATTTTGACTATTTTAGGGACCAGTCTGTTCAATGTAGGGAGAAGCCTTTTGATTAAATTCCACTGCAAGTGTGTTTTTATAATAACATAAAGTCCTTTCATTACTATTAAGTAGATAACAATCAATTAAAACCTGATGACGTGCCATGGGTTTCCATGTTCTGAGGTATGTCTTATTGAAATCATTCAATGTACCGGGAACATGCCGATAGTTGCTTCAAGTATCAAATCTACGTTCTTACCATCGGCTTGACCTGTGTTTCTACTAAGTTTCTGATAAAAACCTCTGAGATCATAACATATGACTGGTTTCTAACAGCATTTCCAAAGACTATTTTGTATAAGCTAAGGTGATTGTTGGAAAGTATTGGTGAGATATACTTTAATTTGTTTTTGTTAAGAGGAAAAGATCAGTGTTTTCTCTATGATTCGTGTAGTTTTTCGTTGTGAGATCGTGGTAAGTAAAAATAAGTTGTAGATGAATAATAAATGATTTTTTTAACACAAGTGCAAATTAAGGGAAATCTTTTAAACTATGAACGTATATAAGCTTTAAGTGACCGTAAATACTAACGGTCTCATAGGAACAACAGTCCCATGTATGTATCAAAAATATCTAAATGTAGTATTGATCTTGCGAAAGTCATCGATCAGCTTTTACACGGTTTCCTCATTCTTCACCACGGAATTTTTGAAAGAACACAAGGTTCATGAAGATCATGTTGCTGTTCTCAACGAATTTATGATAAGTTACAAGGAGGTTATTTTCAACTCAAAAAATGTTTTTGATGACAACGTAAACAACATCAACTCCGGGATGCAGGCACATCCGGCTGATGAGCCCCAAATTGGACGGAACGCGTGTCCTGGATCCCACTACTAGCTACTGTTATCTCAGATTATAAAAGCGGTTTAATTTAATATCATATTATTCGTTTTGTACACGGGTACTTTCAAACTAAACAATTAAATAATAATTTTAACTTGTGAGTTTAGTTTTAGGTTGAAGAGAACTAATGAGATAAAATGAATTTCTTTCTTTTCGGGAGTACAAACTGAGTGCAAACCCTGAGAGGTTTGTTTACTGAGTCACTGTCTTCAAAATCTTTATCATGAGTAACGCTATTTCAACAACTCGTATATTGGCCCCAATAAGAAATATTATACAGTGTTTTCGATGTGTTTACTTTTGTGGAGATCTGCTGTATGCCTGTCACGTTTCCATACAATTTGAGTGAAGATTTTTGTAAAGAGCAAATGGAGGACTTATGAATTCAATATGGTTGGACTGGTCAATAGAATAATTGATTTATTCAAATACGTTTGGCGAGTTGTAGCAAAAATTAAATGATAAACACAACGAATAACAACATTATGGGTAAAAAGTTAAAAAAAATTCGTGAACCAGATCCGGTGTAATATTGATAAAAAATGCCAGAAGGTGTCCGAGTCTTAAAAGCGATTTATTTTCCTCCTCATCCAATCATCCAAAGATTTTCAGTATGGTGTTGTGGAAATTGTTGGATTTCATTAAAATCACGAACTGATCCAAGTTAGACCGCCTTCGAAAACAAGGAAACACTAGACGGCCATTTCGCCATAGTATGGGCTCCACAGCAATTCCTATCCATGATTTCGTACGCGAAAATCGAATCCAGGACTTTCGGTATCGCGTGCGAGCGTTCAGTCACTAGACCAGTGGGCCGGTATCCAACGCTATTAATATCTAACCTTAGTCAATCTATGATATTGCGAGATCATGTTCCATTGTCTAAAATTGTGTCTAAAGTCGTGTTAATGCACAGGCTAGATTGATTAAATGAAATAATATATATCTTCCGATTTTATCCGATAACCAAAGGAAAACATACTGATTTTTCGAGAGTTAATTCCAATTCTCACTGACAAAAACTTTAAAGTTATATTGACTTATCACTCTCCAATAAAATGAATGACTGATAGGTAATTATTACTTCCATCCACTTCAAACTCCATTCATGAATAAGCTGAACAGTTTAGGTTATGTTTCTAGTTGCTTTCATTCTGGAAATATCATACCCATAAATTAATTTAGTGACATCTGAAGATATATAGACGAGTTTATTCTTAATTAGCGCATCACAATTGACTGGGTTATCACTTAAACAAAAAACTGACTATATTTAGCTTTGACTAATGATGAAAGAAATACGGCTATTCTTATTATATAAAAGATTTCACATTTGTACACAAGATGTTCTGTCTTTTGATAATAATTCATTAGAGGTTGTGCTAATCAATAAGTTTTTGCGTAACCGCTGCTTTATCACACTGTTCATAAGAACTCAAACGACTGACTGTGCATCTACACAAACATATAGTAATTTACAGTTATATAGTCGATTGAAACCTAACAATGTATTGCAGCGTATGATTGCTAGTATTTAGCTATCGTCCCCAGAATCTAAAACTACTTTTTGTATGTATTTTGTAACTCATGGTTAGTACTAAAGTAAATAACTGCTTAACTAAGAAATGTTAACTTCATGTTTGACATAATTAACAACTATTATGGGATTCGTTCAACACAAATATTTAGCTAAAATACCTATAAATAGATAATAAATCGGCCAGCTTCGAAAATATTTTCCAGACCATGCATTGAATAATGTTACTACTCCAAAATAAGTTGAACTAAAAAAACCTTCATTTTATAATGGTTCATTGTAAACGTCTTTGAGAGCCTCAAATCAACCACAAAATAGATCTTATTAAGTTAAGAATGTATAACAACTTATTTGTGTCAAAAACTATAGAAGCTTAGATGTAACCGATAATGATCATGGCAAAATTATCATTTAATAACTAGTTGTAAAAACCATATAATCAGTATAAAATTTAAGATGTAAAGTTTTATTTGAATTGCATTTTCGGTTGAAAAAGATAACGAGACGTGATTAAAGTTAATGCTTAAACGAATAAATAGTCACTAACTCACCAAAGTATAAATTTTTCACACTGTCAATTTATATTCTTTTATCATATTCCATCTATAACCCGGTTTCCCTTACATGGACATATATATATATATATATATATATATATATATATATATATATATATATATATATATATATATATATATATATATATATATAATGGTTTATGGTTTTTAATGCATATTAAATTAAAGAATATTTGTATAACTTCAGTTTAGGTGTTCATCATAGAAAACACCATCGCTTCACTTACTTACGAATAGAAATAAGTGGTAAGGATAATGAGAGGGTAAAGTAATTAATGAATACAGCACTGACTAAAACTCACATCCAATTCCGAAACGCAGATACAAGTTTACATCTTCTCCACGAAATGAGAAGGCTATTCTAGGAGCTGATAACTCCCCTTTTTCGATTGCTTCCAAACTAGCATTGCGATGTCGATACACGTAGCCCAGTGTAAAAATCATAACAATGATAGAGCTGACAAACATTATGGTATAAAATGACTATAAAAATGTAAGGAAAAGTAGAAAAATAAATTGGTTATTTTGATAAAATGTGAGCTCCTTTATGCTATTTTCACAAAATTTCTACATTTTAATTTTAGACCTGATGACTAAAACTGTAGACGTCATCTTTAGCGTTTAGTCGGAATATTATGATCATCAAAATTTTCTTAAACTTCATTCTTATATCAAAAGGATAAATTAATCATATTTGACATAAATAGTTGTACACTAAATTATAGGAAAATAACGAAACAAACTAGACTTTGGTGTTATTTTAAACCTAGGGAAATTTTGGAGCAATATTTGCTGACAATAAGTAGAATGGTCAGTCATCCAAGTTTTAAGACTATAAATATATCCAATTATTTGCTTTTAAACTGCTATTTGAAATAAAGATGGAGTAAAGTGTAACATAAAAATGGTGTTAAAGTTTCAGTTAATCAATGATCCATTATTGTAATATGTGTCATTTAAACAATCTTAACATATTATGATAAGCGTATCTGAATTGTCTTTTGTAAATTTTACATCATGTACTATATTCTAAGCTTTTTACTTGGTGAATTATTCTTTATCTTATTCACAAGTTTGGTTCTCCAATCACAATACTTTTAAAGGGTAATTCTAAAGCTTCTTTGTATCGTGTCTTATTAGAGGAATAGTGTTGATCTCATTTGATACTTTTGTGTCATATACCACATTCTCTACCGTCTCCGGTATAAGTAAAAAGACTGGATGCATTCACAATGTGTCCAGTTGACATAGAATATTACCACGATACATCAAATAAGATTTTGTATAAAGGTCAAAAGTTACCGATAACTTTACTGTGATGCCAGTAAAGCATGAATAGGTATTGTTGGGATTTTATTATTTTAACGAGCGATGCAAGCTTCAATACACTTTCGTTTATCATCCCTTTGCCTTAGTCAAAATAACTAGGCTTCATGGTTTTTATGAACATACTCGTTATTTTCCAAACTTGCAGTATGCCGAATTCATAGGCTTCAGAATCACTGGTTATGTGTATCGATCTGTTTCGTATTAAATGTGAAATACTTATTGCCATTAATCTAAACTACCAGATGAACCACAGACACATTCATATTTAAAAATTAAGTCGTTTTAAAATTTTTCTCTTTCGTTCATTTAGAGCCTTATAGGTAACTAGTATTTTTGATTCTGTTACTCTAAGTATGATTATTCATTTTGCGTTACCATCCAAATTTTCGTTATGTTTTGAATTAACGTAATACATGAGTAGAAAGACTGTATGTGTTCCACTGAATTCGAATGGTGTGTTTACGTTTCGGTCAAAGTCATTAAGTTTGTCTTTCGCCTGGACATCATACTGTAGTAAATACTGTTGAAACGATGTAGCTTATCTTTGATAGACTCTAGAATTTGTAGCTCGTTAATTTTCAGTGTAATAAATATCTGCTAGAAAAGTAAGTTCGGAAATGAGGTCAATCAATGTTCATACTAATGATAGTTGTTTCTGGCCTACTGAATTGGCTGATACTCTGGTAGATAGTTTCTGTTTTCCACCACTTAAAATCAGAGTACACATAATTGGGTGCAGATTTTGTGTTACTGCAACCTTTGTCTGATAGCCTAAAGGTTATAAAGTAATACTTATCCAGAATAACGTCTCTGGGAATGTGTGTGTAGCATTTCCTCTTGTGTGTGTTCACAGAATGCTATGGTTTCTGTCATCAAATAGTATTGACCGACGTATTAATTCTTAGCGAAAGAAACATGTTACAACAATTAGGTTAGAAATTTCCTTCGTGACTATAGTCGTCTATGGAAATATTTGGAATTTTTTGTCAGTTAGTTACATCCCGAATAGCTTACATCCAAGATTTTGCGGTTACATGATATGGGGTCGAATCCTGTAGGTATTGTTAATCCCATTAAGGTCATAGTAACTCCTTCCTGAAAAGTCTCCTATAAACTACCTCCAACCGCCTAAACATACTGCATATGATGTCAAATCACCTGGACTAATGGCCACATGGTAACTTGTCTGATAAAATTTAATCGCTTTCAAGAACTAAAAAAACATGAAACTAGCTTCTACAATGTGACTGATTAATGTAATTTAGAATTTGTTTGTAGGGAATTCATATGAAGTTATTCCCTTTTATCTCATTACTTCTTAATACATAAAGTATTCAGCTGAGCTTGCTATGACTCAGATTTGTCAATCATGATACTTTTTTAGGTTAATAATAAACAATGTTGCAAACATTAACTAGTCGTTTATGGTCTTCACCATTTACAGAAACTTGAGGTAAGATTATTCTTGAAGGAAATTAAAACCAAGATTTGGGTTTATTCACTTGGTATTGTTTTACTTGAATCTTCCCAATGATGCTTTAGGACTGAAATTGATCAGTCTCTTATTGGCATATGTGCACTATCTATCTTTGCTTATAATACTTGTAAATTAAGGCAATATCGAGGCATACACACAGTATGCACATATGCCAATAAGAGACTGATCAATTTCAGTCCTAAAACATCAATGGGAAGATTCAAGTAAAACAATACTAAGTGAATTAAACTTCACCCCATCGCACAAGCCAGTGGCTATCAGAACTCAGTAGCTAAGTGGATAACGCGATAGCGCTTGAAGCGAACGGTACTAATTTCGAGTCCCAGGGTGAACATCAACTCTGAGATGCAGGTACATCCAGCTGACGAGTCCCAAACAGGACGAAACGCGCGTCCTGAATTCCACTGATAGCCACTATCCATCTTTGCAAGATTTAGGTTCTCTAGATTTTATTTTAGCTATCTTCATACTACTGAGCTATTTAATCTGCAGTATATTTCCAGTTACCGATGCAAAAATGGATTATACCAATAGAGTTTTCAGTTTATACCTGATCAGCTTTTGAATTTCACTATCAGTTAGAAAATCGACCCTAAACTATTTGGCATGTCCTAATTCCAGGCCATAAATTCCGTCTTTTATAAAACACTTCCAATATATAACGGTTTTGTTAAAAATCATAATCGGTTTATGTGCGATACAAAATTGGTTTGTGTTGAAAATATAACAACGTAGGTGTATTATAGGTTAAATGGTTCTAATGGACAGTTTTTCCGTATAACAAAGCCATTTAAGTTTCATACAAATAAGAGAAATAAATAGTGATAAAAGACTTTGTTTTCAATTACCTTAATAGCGTTAATTATGTATTTGTATATTCTCCCTAAAGAGTGATACTTTTTATAAATGAAGAGTGTTATTTGCCAAAACAAGTCAATGTAGTTGGATAAAACAAGAGATTAACTCGAGTGATCCACATACATCAAATGCATTTATCATATTCAACAATAATAACAACCATCTCTTTGTAAAGTGTTCTCACATTAATGACTCCCGGAGATAGGATAGATAAATCACGAAGACGTGTATATACTTTTAATATATTAATTAACAATTAACAGCGATCGAGCAGCACACATTTCAGTTATCGAGAAGATAACAAAAAAGTTTATTAGATGCACATTTAGACCACACAAAGCTGTTTTTCAATTTGTTTTGTTTGTAAGAAACCAATTTCCATAAATATTAGATGCTAAATATTAGACGCTAAATAACAAACATTTACTCTATATGTGCATATTAATCACCAGCTTTTTAATATATTTTGAGTTATCGATTTTTATGGTACAGAACAACTTCATCGCGTAGTTTACTGAAAAAAGTGGAACAAGTTATTGGTGAACAGATGCATTGATAATTATTTAGAAAGTATGATTACAAGTAAACTTAGTAACGGAAAGGTTGGTTACTGCAATTATCAAGACCTTTTTAAGAGATCAAGTATTTTTAAGGGAAGTATGATAAAAAGTAGATGTGCAGGTGCAACGATGATGAGCACACGGTATCTCCAAAATATATACATCTTGATATATATATGATACAATAATGCAGTTATCCAATATTAAATATAATAGAAAGTTTCTTGGCTTCAAGTTACTGCATAGGACAGAAGTTCTTCAAAGTTGAAGTTTCCTACTAGACATTAATACTGTTAACCACTAGTTATTGGTTCTAAGTTTCGTAACAAATGCTGAAAAATAAAAGTGTTCTAAAAAATCCTTATATATAGTTAATTTTTCATATGTTCAATTAAGTTTATGGCTTTAACCTAACCAAATCTGCAATAACTTATGAAGCATCAAGTCGACTGCATGTCACGGGATATTGAATGTATATACTTTAAGTTATGCTGAACTGTGAAAACATCAGAACGTTTTGTTCGGTCAGACAGTCAATCAATCAATAAATTGTCTATTGAATATGATGAATTCTAAAATAATTCTAAATTCAGTGCCGGAATAATTTAGTTAAACCAATGATGGACATTCAGAAGCAAATATATTTATTATTATTATGAATATTATAATACAATATTGCATCACGTATTATATAATACCGATAACAAACTTATTGGGGAAGATCGTTAGATAATTACGATAGCAATAAACCTGTAAATTTAATTAGAATAAGCTACTAATTATATAAGAAATACTTTTACTTTTTCAAACAAAAATATCATTTTGGGTCTATATGTTTACAGTAGACCAAAGTGAATACTGGATGGAGAGTTAATTGTACAGAATTTAATAGTTCATACGAAGTTATAACCTGATCTATAATACATATTATTACAAAGATATTAATAGTTTTGATAATAACCCCTTTATCAGCAAACGCTATTACATAGACTGTACCATTATTCTCATTTACATGTGTATACTTTCAACATCTTCTTTGCCATATTCAAAATTTTAATGCTGACCTAGTATGATATTTGTATTATTGTGTATTTTATTCAGAAGAAAGTGTATATAATAAACTAACATTAATGAATAAAGTAATAATAATAATAACAAGATAACTTACAACAAATGAATTTTCAGTTTCAGCTTCTTTTTCTCCGGTATTGTAAAGTGTAATAGATAAACCAATAGCAAATATTAGAAAGCAATAAAACATTGAAACGACACGTTGCAAATGATTTCTATCGTAATAAAAAGAGAAATATAGAACTACATATGAGTGTGCATGAGATTTATACCACAATAGACATTATTTTGTTGAATAATAAAAAGAAAATTCATACTAAAAATAATAATCAGACAATATTGACTTATTAAATACTTCATATTATGATGGATAGTCAAGTCAAGATTAAGAATGATTATTAAAATAGAGCAATGATTTATTGTATATCTTACAGTCAATAATATAAAATAATGGAGTTCAATATTTTCATTCGGAATCATATTATGATTTCAGAATTAATTTAATTATGACAAACATACCAACGATTAAGAGACTCTTTGAATAAGACATGACAGAGAAATTTCGAAAGTTATAACAAAGCCTACGAATATTAACCCCTTAACAATAACCATTATCACTAGGTCATTCAACATTACCTAAACTTGATCAGTTGGGCTTAAAATAAAGTAAAGTAATCTAAGTTGGCTTTTAAAAGCTTTTAAAAGAAAGCTTTTTACGACAATATTTGTTTGATCAACCTATGCGAACTAATCAGCTCCGTATAAGCGGAGATATTTTTTACTTGAAAAGTTCAACATTTAACCGCAAATATAATTCCTTATGAAGGTTTTTATTTCTTCAAAAAGATATAGTTCTGATTTGTTATAAATTCAACGTTGATCGATATATGGCGAGAAGATTCGGTAGTAACAGACATAGCCTATCGTTTTAAGTTTTGATCTGTTATACGCTTCGACTATCAAGGTTGAACTTGATATTTAGGCTGAGAAAAATCCTAACTCCTATTGCTGCAGAACGTTTTCAATCGGTTAATAAAACTCAGTAAGCAGTAGTGCAGTGGTAAATCTTGAGTGAATCAATTCATGTAATAATACAAATTAAGTTTTTGATAGCACATTAACATAAATGTGAAATTACAAAGTAGGGACATTATTAGTCTTTATCATAGTTGTATTATATCGTTGAAGACGTCCTAAATGAAGAAAATAATGCTAAACGAAGCAAAAAAAACATTCAAATTACTCAAAAATTAAAATTTTCTTTAATGAAATGTATTTTTTCGATCTGCATTTATTAGGTTACAATCTGTAATTTCATTATTTATCAAACATAAATTGTAAAACAGATCGAGTTCAAATGAAGCAGATGATACTAGGAGGATGACAAAGAATGGTTTCTGAAAAGAAAGTCATGGAAAATGATTTGAACATTTTTGTAATGTCTAATTCCCATTAACAGTTATTTTTGTTTTCAACAGTAAAAATATTGGCGCTTGACTTTTAAATTATTATACTCAAAATTACATATTTTATTTATTTATTTATTATTATTAGCTTTATTCAATACGATATTGTTGGTACAATAGAGAATTCTCAGCACAAGTTTTTTTCCTTACTTCTTGGTTGATCCTGAAGATAAATATTGAGTAATCGCCAGTTAAAAGTTAGCAGTCCAGTCAATCGACATTTAAATGCGCAACCACGATATCTCTGATTGGGCCTTTTATAACTTGTACAACGAAAGGTTGTACACTTTTCAGAAACGCACCTGAATAGGTTATGCGATTAGTAGCCCTAGTGATGCATTAAAACAAACAAAATTATATAAGTTGTTGAAATATTTAGATAACAGGGGCAAGTAACCCAGTTATTCACGCAGGCCACCCGCGATGACCCGGTAATTCTTAGATCTCTGAGTCTCAGAAAGGAACCCTATGGTGTCCAATACACAAGTTGTTTCCAAACTTCAATTATAATTTCTGAATTAAATAAACAATCTTACTAATCAATCTAAATCGGAAGTACTTGATTGTTATGCTGATATGTTTGAAAAGATATTTGTTTGATGCCTATTTTTTTCATGATATTAGCATATATTAGAATAGCTCGATTCGATTTCTTTAAAATAATTTTCTCTTAGTAAATAAGATTAAAACGCACTATACTTAATCACTCTTATTTAAGGAAGAGTTATTCAACCCTTGTTTACATATTCACGGAAGATACAGTTATACGAGACATCGCTGATATAGTGATTCTGTCTTGTTAATTTTGTAATTTTTCAGCAGTGTTATTATTTAGCTCTTAATGATCAGTCGTGTTCAAAACAAAATTAACAAGATGTAATAGGGTTATGTTAAGGATAGATTTTCGAAATTATGCTTTAAAAATCAATTAGAAAGTAATCAACCTAAAAGCTAAGACTATAAGTCCAATACAAAGATTTAGTTGCCCTTAAAAAAAATACCAACCTGATGTAATCACAAAAGATAGGAATAAACTGAGTAAATATATAAAGTACATGGAAATAACAGTAGCATATGTATGCTGAACACACACCTAATAATGCAGTTTTTTTAGGGGGATCACTCGGTCAAAGTTGAAGCGGATCAATCAAAAGTTAAGCTTTGATATAATTGAGATAATTCTTAGACTTCCGTGAACTAGTTACTCATTCCTTAGAAAGGAAGTTTAAAAGTAACACACAGACTGGTTTCAGTAGGTATCCTTAATATAATAAATGACATAATGAATGGACTGAATCCCGACTCAACTTTTCAGCTTCCATTCTTGGTACAAAAATATGATTTGATATTCATTCTGAAAACAACGTATGAACAGTAGTTACATTTTTCATGCAACGCTAGATTTATCAAAGTTCACAGAGTGTAACGTGTAACTCAGAGCAATAAAAGGGTGCTCATTTGACGTTCGATAGTCGATAAATCCATCAACACCCCATGGAATTTTAATATGGACAATTCTTCATCTGATTCAGATATCATCACTAATGACATGCTAAAATTATACATAAACTTAACATATTTCCTTCATTTATACATTATTTCGCTGGACTGTTTTCATGAATGGTAGATAAAGTAAGAAAAAGAATGGTTGAAAGTTAGAGCTACATGATGTAAAGTAACCAACATTTACTAAGCATTAGAATCATTGTGGTGATTAGTAACGTTAAACAATTAAATGTTTCGTTAACTGAAACAAAATGTGCACCAATTTCGCTTATAGCTAATGAAAATAACTGAAATGTATTTACTAACATTGACACGAAAATGTGTTAGTATCTAGCTAATTCATAACTATCACCTTTATCAAGCAATTTGCTCAGAATGAATTAGATGTATTTAGTAAGTCATTTATCACAATAATGTTTTGTCAGTGAGTCGGAAAAACGGTGGAACGCAAAGAAACACCAATAGCTGGTATTGAAACACTGAGACATCCAGATATTATTTTAAGAATTTTCATGATTCTTGATAATCTAGAAACTTTAACTGTTATTAACTTTGAGAGATCATATTATTATTGCCATTACCGTAATCACATATGAAGTTTGCATTCATTAAGCAAGGAACCTAAGGAAGTGGCAAATAAATTGGATCAACATGAATGTATTATTTTCCACTAAACAACAGTATACTGGAAGAGCACCAAGACTATGATTAGTGACGTAAAGTGCGTTTCTGTTTAACACTTCATATGTGTTAGTTATTCTAACAAACTGGTTGATGGGACTTTCGAAAATGATGATGTGGTTAAGAGCAACTTCAATTGATCCATGTCATAATGAGGTTGCCTGTCAATACTCATCATTAATTTTATTGAATCGACTCACATCAAAAAATTGTAGTTTAATTCTATTCGATTTGACTGGTGCTATTCAATTCTGTATTCACTTAAAATAAATCATCTATGGATCAAATATATATGATATGGTAGCCATAAGTCATAATTCACAGCCATCTTTTATTCATGATGTTAATTTGTGTACTTTGCAAAAATTATATTTGGTGAAAACCTTTTTAAATTTAACGCTTGGTTTGTTTAATTTAGATGCAAATAACTAGTTTCGTTTTTCAAGTTCATTCACATTTCATTCAAAGTAAGGATAATGGGCTACTAGAATCACCAATGAAGCTTTAATCAATTTTTTAAAAATAGGCGATTTATGAAAGTGACAAAAATTTGAAAAGATCAGTTCAAATCTCATTGATTTGATACAATATTTAAATAAATCACCTCTGTAAAAAACAATGCTAAGTTTAAATTGCTAAATGCAAGTTAGGAAAACGATGTAAAGATTCCGTTTAGAAACATAGTGTTTTTTTGTTTCATAGTAATCACTTCATGCTAATCAGGAATTGAAAAAGCCTATGTATTACATGTTTATACTAAATAAGAATATTCGGTGCATTTCTAGATAAGATCCTTATTAAAAGGCAGAATTATTCTTTTATCCACGGTACTGTGAATACAATTTTAATAAATATTCGGTGACTTTAACGTAAATCAGACTATCATGACAAACAACAAATCATAATTTATGCATTGTGAGGACGGTTTGCTTCACAGTCAGTTTTCAGGTGTTGCGGTAATGATATGATGTCAACGAAAATTACTTCGTAATTCATGAGCGCTAGTCAGGAGTGAATATTATTGATACTAATCTCGTTATATCCAAGTAAACCAAGTTATCAGTAACATAGTATCTAGTACAGATGTATGTCAGGTTAAGTTGCCTGATCTGCCATTAGTACATTTACAAGTTATCGAAAAGATAAAAGTTGAAAAAATAAAGACGATACTCTTTATGTTAGTGAAAAATATAGCTTACCAAACATAATTTGAGAAGACTGAATAAAATCAAGGGAAGGAAAGTATTTATTAAGATTCAGGTTTTAGATGTTAACAACAAAACAACTTTTCACATAGATCAATCGCTTATGTTAAACATCTGCAGCCATAGATCATAGTTATCTTGTGAACCTGAAGACAGGTATCTCTCAATTTGGCTCATTTCAATAGTCAATGACTGTGAACTGATATCAATGTCGCTATCTGGTTGCCTTCAAACTTTTTCAACCATTGTTCTTACTTATTAACATCTGAAAACTTTTAGTAAATATATATATGAAGTATAGCATTTTAAAATGTACAAGGTTACATTCACCA